GATCTTGATGTGCAACGGCCCGAAATAGTCCAGCCCGGTGAACGTGAATGGTCGCAGGAACGGGGTCAAGCGCTGGACAGGTAGATTTCCCATTACAGGTGGCTTGGGATTGGCTCGTTGGTTCTTGCAGTATTGACACTCAGACCATGCTCGCTTCACAGCTGCTCGACCTGTCGTCACCCAGTACTGCTGGCGAAGCTCATTCAATGTCCTCTCGTGTCCATGTCTAGTGTCGTCAAGAGTACATAACCCCCCAGAGTGTGCAACGCCGATCCAGCTCTGCATTGGGTCTTGGTCGAGCGGAATCGGATCTTCTGATGTCATGCGTACACTCCACACCAGCGCAAGGCCGGTCTCGAGGCAGGGCACCATTGTTTTTGATCCAAGAGTACCCGCGACTCCCCGGGTTCCCCTCAGATGTGTACGGTATTATGACGCAAAGATCCGATTCCGCTCGACCAAGACCCTTTGCAGAGCTGGATCAGGCGTTGCACACTCTGGGGGGTTATGTACTCTTGGTGTCGTGCATGCACCGTGTATATCTACACTTCCTGCGCTGATGTGTAGAATGGTCTAGACTATATGGTGCATGCACTGATGTGTAGAATGGTCTAGACTATATGGTACATGGAACAGGCCTCTTTTACGACTATGGTGCACAGTGCAATGCGTACATGCACAGCCATGCACTTGCAAGTACACATAAGTACACATAAGTACACATACCGTAAAGTCGCGGATAAAAGCCGGGTTTGCATACAAGCACATTGCGGATAGAAGCCTGAAAATCAAACGGGTGGAATGCATATAAGCCTGTCGCGCATAGAAGCCTGGCTTCTATGCAAGCGCGGATCGGGTGGGCCAAGAGTGCATGTGCTATGTACGGTGCATAGTAAAACTGCCGCCATACCGGTAGTCAGTGGTAGATCTACGCGTGTCACGCGTAGAAGCCTGGCTTCTATGCAAGCAAAGACAACATTCTCCCAGCACACACATGCATGTGCATAGACATCGGTCACAGCTTACTTTGCCGGGTAGGGAGCAGGCACTGATTGGCCCATTCATACAACGTGCAAACTCACTTTTATCATATCGTGTCCAAGGATATTTACTCGCTTAATTATGATAAACTTGGACACATGCGCGTGCAACTGATTTTTGAACTTGGCCGGGGCCCTTGTGCTCACGATTATACTTTGCACGCCAGCAAAAGTGTCGGTTGTTGAAAGTGCGTACTGCAAATCAGTGCTTGAACAAAGGAAAATTCGAATTTCCCGGCATTTTCAGGAGGTCACTATGGATACATTGACGTGTGCCAAGTTTGCCCAGCTCCGTGTGAACTGGATCACGGTTTGCAAGTGTTATCTTGGTCACACGCGTGTAACACGTCGTGTGAATGGCCTATTATATTGCTGGTATGTGGCTACAAGTCAATCGCTCCGTGTGCGCATTGCGTCTGTACATTATTTTTTGTTTGACAATTCGATATTGGAAAAATGGCAAAAATTTATTTGGTCCTGTTGCTGGTTTGTATTTTTGTCAACCTAAATTACACTTCACAGTTTTGGCTATGTTTGTGTTTGCATCTGTATTTATACCGGTGTGCTTCTGTGTGCCTGTAATCCCTGTATACTCATTTCATTGTTCCTTCTTGTCACAGTATACCGCATCCACAACACTTGCCCAAGTACAGATCAAAGTCATCTCCTTATGGTAAGACTGATCCACTTGCAATTGTACTTGCATGTGCCATATCCATTCTATTTGAAAGTTGTGATTGGTTGCCTTCTACTACCAGTAGCTTATCCAGATGTCTGCTTTGCCATCAGAGCTGTTGAAGTGTTGAGGGGAGCTCATCTAGGTCCTGGTCTGAATGTGGCATTGTCAAGTACAGCGCCGCTCAATGAAATCCGATTGTGTGAGTCAAGTTTGCGCCCTGAACCAGTTCACATCCCAGTGTTCGCAGGTCTAGGGCTGCACAACGCCCGGCGGTTACTTGACTCATGCGATCGGATTTCTTTGAACAGCACTGTGTGTCTTTCACGTTTATGCACCAGGTCTAGCGCTATCTTAGCCTTCGAATTTGAAATTTCCTATTTGAATATTCTTGAAGCACTGTTAGACCGGATAAATTTGAATAATTGATTATTCGTGACATCCCTATTCTTGTTGTTCTGTGTGCGTCCGTGCTTGCGAATGTGCTTGTGCCCTGTGTGTGCATACAATGTGTGTGCATATCTGCGTACGTGTGTGCATGTGTATTGACAGTCTATAGCGTAAAGAGTTTCACGAAACTATCTTCGTCACGGTCAGCGCAGACACCACCAAGAGGGCAGGCATTGGGTGTGGCGTGGCACCCCAAGCAACCACATCGTTACTTGGCCACTGCTTTTGCACTTGGTACGTTCAGGATGTTCTAGTTTGTCATGTCTTGTATGAGACACACCCCTGGATTGCTCATACATTACCTGCACTACCTGCACTACCTGCACTACCTGCACTACCTGCACTACCTGCACTACCTGCACCACCTGCACTACCTGCACTACCTGCACCACCTGCACTACCTGCACCACCTGCACTACCTGCACCACCTGCACCACCTGCACCACCTGCACCACCTGCACTACCTGCACCACCTGCACCACCTGCACTACCTGCACCACCTGCACTACCTGCACCACCTGCACTACCTGCACTACCTGCACCACCTGCACTACCTGCACCACCTGCACTACCCAGGGGCGTACATAGGGCGGTTCCCGGGATGCCCGGGAACCAGTAAAAAAACTTCGATATGGGTACAGAGAAGTTTTTGATCCAGGCCCAGCGCTCGCAGTGCAAGTGCACTAGCGCTATAGCAGCGCAAGTGCATGCAATGCGAGTCCGCCTGACGGTCCGAGGACGGTGACTGTAGCCCAGGTGTGAAAGTCGTAACAGCGTACTGAACTGGGTTCAACTAGGTACATCGCCGGATTCCTCGATCTCAGTCAGAGTCAAATTTTCCTTTGCAGTTTGTTTTGACAAAGTTGGTCGTGTTTCGGACGATGCTTTCGCTTTGTGGAAAAGAAAAATGAAGCGTCGACATCCAGAGGGCCGGAGCTCTATTCAGAGCTATTTTGAGCAGCAGGCCGAAAGCATGTAGCCAGTGCTAGTGGCGAAGGTCACGCGATAGATGAGAATGCAGACGCAGCACCTGACTTGCAAGCGAAGTCTGCATGCAACGAGCAGCGTTGAGGAAGAAATCGTCGGCGAAGCTGTAGAGCGACCGTTGTTGGAAGCTGCTGGATCATCCAAAACTAACTTCAATGACATGGGAGTGTGTTGGAAGGGATATTCTGAACGTCGACGTCCACAGTGGAATCCAGTCCCCCGAAATTTGCCGGACACGGAAAAGATCTCCGTCATCGATAATCATTGTGCGCCACCGAAGGCGAAGGATTTCATTTCCTGTGCGTGTCCAGACGGATGGGAAACAGCGCCACTTTCAACTATCCTTGCTATTAGAGGAGTTACCCTGGGTAGTCTTTTGACCGGCGTGCAATGGTGGCTTCTGCTTGCCGAGTGTGATGTTTGCTCCAGATGATTCGAAACCTGTAGGCAGCTTTCAAAACTGCATGCAATCGTCATGCTGAACAAAACATCCATAAAACGTAAAATCAAAAGTGCGTAGCAATGACATCGTCCAGCAGCTTGTGGATGTTAATTTCACCCAGTCTGAGGAGAAGATGCAGAAACTCCGGCCGTGGGATACGAAAAATAGCACTTCAATTGAATTTGTGTGGAATTTTGGTTCATCAGGTGGCATGGGAACCACTCCTGGAGGCGAGCGGCGTACGCCCCTGCTACCTGCACCACCTGCACCACCTTCACCACCTGCACCACCTGCACCACCTGCACTACCTGCACCACCTGCACTACCTGCACTACCTGCACCACCTGCACTACCTGCACTACCTGCACTACCTGCACCACCTGCACTACCTGCACCACCTGCACTACCTGCACCACCTGCACTACCTGCACCACCTGCACCACCTGCACCACCTGCACCACCTGCACTACCTGCACTACCTGCACCACCTGCACCACCTGCACCACCTGCACCACCTGCACTACCTGCACCACCTGCACTACCTGCACCACCTGCACTACCTGCACCACCTGCACTACCTGCACCACCTGCACTACCTGCACCACCTGCACCACCTTCACCACCTGCACTACCTGCACCACCTGCACTACCTGCACCACCTGCACTACCTGCACCACCTGCACTACCTGCACCACCTGCACTACCTGCACTACCTGCACCACCTGCACTACCTGCACTACCTGCACCACCTGCACCACCTGCACTACCTGCACCACCTGCACCACCTGCACTACCTGCACCACCTGCACTACCTGCACCACCTGCACTACCTGCACTACCTGCACCACCTGCACTACCTGCACCACCTGCACTACCTGCACCACCTGCACTACCTGGGCTACCTGCACTACCTGCACTACCTGCACCACCTGCACTACCTGCACCACCTGCACTACCTGCACCACCTGCACTACCTGCACCACCTGCACTACCTGCACAGTCATGCTTGTTGCTACATGTACCCACTTTTGTATCCCCGCTTATTAGAGAGGTTCCGCACTACGTATCGTTGAGCAACTTTACGTAAGTAGGCGCTGAAAAACCCTGAATTCGCGAGTTTACACTCCACTCACGGGAAGTTGTCTACATAGAGTATGTAAATGGAGCTCTACAAGCGGAGGTGCTCCGTAAGTGGATTGGGGTATAAATTTATGACTCTCTCCCTAGGTCGTACACTGTCGCGTTTGGAGTTGCCTAGGGCAGCTATGTGATTCGAAAACTACGTATGGCGAAACATGGATCCGCATGCAGTGTACGTAAGACTTTCCGTGGATCGATTACGTTTTTACTAACGTATTTACGTTGTGCGGAACCTCTCTGTTGTTGGCTGAAGATTGCCTTAGCGCGAAAGTCAGTCCCGGCAAGTAACCCGTAACCTGGTCTATTCAGTTCCCAGGGTGTAGTATAACACACTAACCTGGTCCATTCAGTTCCCAGGGGTGTAGTATAACACATTCAGTTCCCAGGGGTGTAGTATAACACATTCAGTTCCCAGGGGTGTAGTATAACACATTCAGTTCCCAGGGGTGTAGTATAACACATTCAGTTCCCAGGGGTGTAGTATAACACATTCAGTGCCCAGGGGTGTAGTATAACACATTCAGTTCCCAGGGGTGTAGTATAACACATTCAGTTCCCAGGGGTGTAGTATAACACATTCAGTTCCCAGGGGTGTAGTATAACACATTCAGTTCCCAGGGGTGTAGTATAACACATTCAGTTCCCAGGGGTGTATAACACATTCAGTTCCCAGGGGTGTAGTATAACACATTCAGTTCCCAGGGGTGTAGTATAACACATTCAGTTCCCAGGGGTGTAGTATAACACATTCAGTTCCCAGGGGTGTAGTATAACACATTCAGTGCCCAGGGGTGTAGTATAACACATTCAGTTCCCAGGGGTGTGGTATAACACATTCAGTTCCCAGGGGTGTAGTATAACACATTCAGTTCCCAGGGGTGTAGTATAACACATTCAGTGCCCAGGGGTGTAGTATAACACATTCAGTTCCCAGGGGTGTGGTATAACACATTCAGTTCCCAGGGGTGTAGTATAACACATTCAGTTCCCAGGGGTGTAGTATAACACATTCAGTGCCCAGGGGTGTAGTATAACACATTCAGTTCCCAGGGGTGTAGTATAACACATTCAGTTCCCAGGGGTGTAGTATAACACATTCAGTTCCCAGGGGTGTAGTCTAACACATTCAGTTCCCAGGGGTGTAGTATAACACATTCAGTTCCCAGGGGTGTAGTATAACACATTCAGTTCCCAGGGGTGTAGTATAACACATTCAGTTCCCAGGGGTGTAGTATAACACATTCAGTTCCCAGGGGTGTAGTATAACACATTCAGTTCCCAGGGGTGTAGTATAACACATTCAGTTCCCAGGGGTGTAGTATAACACATTCAGTTCCCAGGGATGTAGTATAACACATTCAGTTCCCAGGGGTGTAGTATAACACATTCAGTTCCCAGGGGTGTAGTATAACACATTCAGTTCCCAGGGGTGTAGTATAACACATTCAGTTCCCAGGGGTGTAGTATAACACATTCAGTTCCCAGGGGTGTAGTATAACACATTCAGTTCCCAGGGATGTAGTATAACACATTCAGTGCCCAGGGGTGTAGTATAACACATTCAGTTCCCAGGGGTGTAGTATAACACATTCAGTTCCCAGGGGTGTAGTTTAACACATTCAGTTCCCAGGGGTGTAGTATAACACATTCAGTTCCCAGGGGTGTAGTATAACACATTCAGTTCCCAGGGGTGTAGTATAACACATTCAGTTCCCAGGGGTGTAGTATAACACATTCAGTTCCCAGGGGTGTAGTATAACACATTCAGTTCCCAGGGGTGTAGTTTAACACATTCAGTTCCCAGGGGTGTAGTATAACACATTCAGTTCCCAGGGGTGTAGTATAACACATTCAGTGCCCAGGGGTGTAGTATAACACATTCAGTTCCCAGGGGTGTGGTATAACACATTCAGTTCCCAGGGGTGTAGTATAACACATTCAGTTCCCAGGGGTGTAGTATAACACATTCAGTGCCCAGGGGTGTAGTATAACACATTCAGTTCCCAGGGGTGTAGTATAACACATTCAGTTCCCAGGGGTGTAGTATAACACATTCAGTTCCCAGGGGTGTAGTATAACACATTCAGTTCCCAGGGGTGTAGTATAACACATTCAGTTCCCAGGGGTTTAGTATAACACATTCAGTTCCCAGGGGTGTAGTTTAACACATTCAGTGCCCAGGGGTGTAGTATAACACATTCAGTTCCCAGGGGTGTAGTATAACACATTCAGTTCCCAGGGGTGTAGTATAACACATTCAGTTCCCAGGGGTGTAGTTTAACACATTCAGTTCCCAGGGGTGTAGTATAACACATTCAGTTCCCAGGGGTGTAGTATAACACATTCAGTTCCCAGGGGTGTAGTATAACACATTCAGTTCCCAGGGGTGTAGTATAACACATTCAGTTCCCAGGGGTGTAGTATAACACATTCAGTGCCCAGGGGTGTAGTATAACACATTCAGTTCCCAGGGGTGTGGTATAACACATTCAGTTCCCAGGGGTGTAGTATAACACATTCAGTTCCCAGGGGTGTAGTATAACACATTCAGTGCCCAGGGGTGTAGTATAACACATTCAGTTCCCAGGGGTGTAGTATAACACATTCAGTTCCCAGGGGTGTAGTATAACACATTCAGTTCCCAGGGGTGTAGTATAACACATTCAGTTCCCAGGGGTGTAGTATAACACATTCAGTTCCCAGGGGTTTAGTATAACACATTCAGTTCCCAGGGGTGTAGTATAACACATTCAGTGCCCAGGGGTGTAGTATAACACATTCAGTTCCCAGGGGTGTAGTATAACACATTCAGTTCCCAGGGGTGTAGTATAACACATTCAGTTCCCAGGGGTGTAGTATAACACATTCAGTTCCCAGGGGTGTAGTATAACACATTCAGTTCCCAGGGGTGTAGTATAACACATTCAGTTCCCAGGGGTGTAGTATAACACATTCAGTTCCCAGGGGTGTAGTATAACACATTCAGTTCCCAGGGGTGTAGTATAACACACTTACATGTACAATGTGGGTACTAGGTTATACAAAGCGCACAGCACAGCACAAGCTGACAGAAGAAACTTGTATCGAACTTTGTTTACATACACCATGGAAGGCCCCTTGGGCATTCACTCGGTTGACATCGTCAGGATTCCTGCAGTCGTCAACGTCCGACACACTACTCTCTTCATCACAATCAGGATGTGTTTGTTCTGTCAACTTGTGTTTTGTCACTTTTGTGCTTTGTTGACTGCCTTCATGATAGATATGTGTTAGTTCTTCTAGCATTTCTCTTCATCTATTATCCCGTTTCTAGAATATTTCGTGATTCCTGCCACCTGGGCTATTCTCAGGATCAGCAGATTAGTTTGATACAGTCAGACCTCGCTTATCCGGTCCTCTTTTATCCAGGTCCATCGCCATCCGGAAGAAAATTGCTGGTCACCGATGTGCAGTACATGTTACGCATACAACATAACCGGACCTCGCGATCCGCATACCGGTGCATGATTTGTGTACAAACTGGTTGAAATGTGCAGAAAAACTTCGTTGTATCCGGTTGCACGTGGCTTGTAGAATTAAGCTAGAATCAGAGAGATTTACAAGCAAATGAGGCCCTTGACCTGCTGGATGCATACGGATAGCACTCAGTTGCATGCACTTCTCATTTTTCTCGCTTGTTTTACGTGACATACGGTGCACGCTAGTTGTACTGCACAGGACCCGTCTACATGTATGTATGATGCCACTCCTTTTGACATGTCACATGCATATACAGAATGTGTGTTCAGTTATCCGGTTCCCTCGCCTATCCGGATATTTTTATGGAAAACGGATGTGTGCGGTTAAGCGAGGTCTGACTGTATCGGTAGTTGACAGATCTTTTTGTCATTTTCTCGAATGCTCTCGTGAGCCTTGTTGGGCCGCCGGACAACTGTCCTTGGTGACAAATAATCTACTGGACCTTTGGGAAATTATGTCCTGCCTTTCTACACTAGGAGTGAAGAGCACTCAAATGATATGACAAAGAGATGAAAATTGGGTGGAGGGTGTGTATGTGTGGGTGTGTTTGTGTGGGTGTGTGTGGGGGGGGGGGGGGGGGGGGTGCAAGTTATAGTCGAGGAATTTGGTATCTGGCAGCACAGCCGGTTTTTGTTGTTGGTTTCTGGTGGTAACGGGTGTGTAGTGTCTAGAACGCAATGGTGATAGGGGAAGTTTGTTACATACTAGTATTTAGAAGAGTCAGTCGAGTGTACTGCGCCATATTTCTCTGATGTTAGCGTTCTCATTTTTCATGTTTTCATGCTTAGGTCTGGTGTGTGTCTGGGACTTGGCTACAACTAGTCCATTGCTGTTTGTCAACTCCAGCAGTGGCCCGGGTATGTTCATAATGAACTCTTCTCTCCTATCTCCTCACAGTGCTGCCTTGTTGCCAGTTTACACCCACTTCTTTGGTTACACCCACTCCTTTGGTTACACCCACTCCTTTGGTTACACCCACTCCTTTGGTTACACCCACTCCTTTGGTGCGATTGTAACAGTCTGTCAACCCCGCCTGGTTTCCCTTGTAGAGAGGGGTACAGTAGGTATCGGTTATAGTGTGGGTGTTTGTGAAAAACGACTTTCTATTCTTATTTCCGATATTTCTTACACACGATAAATCAGGTGTGACATATCATATGCATGTGCGCAGAGGCAGGAAGATCATCGTACATGCAATGTAGTGCTACTGTGCATGCGGCTGGTCATAAGTAAAGCTGTGTTCACAACTGGCGAGTGGACGCGGTACGCTTGCGCTTCATGTGTGCCTAAACGCGCGCTCAAGCTTTCACATAAAACAGCAATCCGAGCGCGTGCGACACCTTCGAGTACTAATTTTTTGATCCCGCCAGTCAAAGTGACTGGCATGTACGCTGGTACGCACCTGATACGCGCTGAAAATTCCAACATGTTGGAATTTCCATTTCGGCGCGTTTCCGTACGCATGGCGCCCCAAAAGCCAGCAAAAATACGCACAAACGCGTGGTTTCACGCGTACACGCACCAGTTGTGAACACAGCTTTAGTCCCATAGGCTTACCATGTGGCTATGCAACATGAGTTACATGACCGCAACAGTTGAACTTCCACAGGCTGCAGCACTACGACGCAACGCGAGTCAGATCAGAACTGCATTGGACAGATGTTATTACTACAGGCAATATACTTTGTGCTAATCTGGCATGTTTCGCTACACAAAGTCCATTCTTAGGACCAATACCGTAGTTCCGCACATATAAGCCCATGGGCCTATATCCGGATATAAGCCCACCTCCGTTTATAGGCCCATGGGCTAATAAACAGACCCAAATACCGTAGTACAGCATGTCAGTGCAGACTGCATTACCAGTACCGGTACCTACAGACTCAGTAGGCGGACAACCGCGCACGGACTTGTACTTTTTCGCGTGCCAGCTGCCTTCAAAATTCGAATATAGGCCCATAAAAAACGAACCATTATTACTTATTTTTTTCCCCTGAAAATGCATTATTTCGTATATTAGCTAGCCCATGGGCTTATATGCGCGGAACTACGGTATACTCTACTACAGTAAAACCTGGTTTAAGCGACCACCCCACAGTGCAAGCAAAAGCGGTCGTTAAAGCCAGGTGGTCTTTAGAACCAGGTCCCACCATGTCTGTGTAGAACTGTCGGTGCATGGAAAAACGGTCGTTAAGAGCAGGTGGTCGCTAAACACAGAGGTCGCTTACACCAGGTTTTACTGTATCCGATAAAATCGCTTGTAAGAATAAATGTGCATTTGAAACCCATGTTATGATTATGAAAACATGAGAGTTCATTCTTGTAGGCAGTATATTCTTTTACACGACCACGCTATAACCCATACGCACTGTACTAGTATACCTATCTGAGTGTTTACCTATCTGAGTGTGTATATGCAATTCTTGTAGCTTACACAGCTAGAGTGTACTTCTGACGTGAGGACGTTTATCCATTCACATTCTGCGATTGTCTGGTCTTGTCTGTGCTCACAGAAATTTTCTGTCAGAAGATGATGCAGGCTGAGTGCAGTGCCGTGCGTAGCCTTAGCTGGTGCCCCAGCGAAGAAAACCTATTGGCAGCAGGTACGCTTTGCAATCTCACGCCATGTGTTTGCTTGACTTGCACAATACGTGGTTGTGTGTAGTGCTTACACCAGTACGCCAGTACACGTGTACACATGTACTGATCTAGAGACCACTGGGTCAAGAGATCACCTGATCATGAGACTATCTGGTCAAGCAGCCACACTGATCAAGAGATTACCTGGTTTCAGCAGCACTAGGAATTCAGGACTATCAGACCCCTACTCTTTGGCGCCAACTGTATGGAATGTGCGTGTGTCACCTTGATTTCAGAGACCACCTGTGTGCAAAGGCATAACTTAGTCAGTCCTATGGCTGGTCACTGAAACCAGGTTTTACCTGTACAATCATCTTTTTCAGTCTACTGATCTTTCTGCCCCTTGTTCTTATCTCTACTGTATGCATCCTACTTGATTAGCAGCCGTTTTTCTAGTTTTGTATATTTTTAATATTTATCTTCTCAACAACTGCACTTGCCCTTTGCTGTGGTTATATATCCTGACGCAGCACCAGAAACGGCCGGAGAAATCTCGTTTCCGCCATTGAGATAACTTCTGTAGTTAGAGCAGAGGGCAAGAGCCTTAATCAGGATTGAAAATGAGGTAACAGGAGGTGCAGGTGCATTGTTCGCTATTATTTATCTTCTCCCAATCCAGTTATTGACAGCCCCACCCCCCCCCCTTTGTTTGGACTGCTACTGAGCATGTACCTGCTGTTGTGGATGTTCCCTGACAGCTGAGCTCTGAGCTACTGCCTTTTTTCCTGTTGTTCTCTCTCTCTCTCTCCATCTCTCTCTCTCTCTCTCTCTCTCTCTCTCTCTCTCTCTCTCTCTCTCTCTCTCTCTCTCTCTCTCTCTCTCTCTCTCTCTCTCTCTCTCCATCCCTCTCTCTCTATCTCTCTCTCTCTCTCTCTCTCTCTCTCTCTCTCTCTCTCTCTCTCTCTCTCTCTCTCTCTCTCTCTCTCTCTCTCTCTCTCTCTCTCCGTTGAACCGGGTTCTTAATCCACCATACCCAGTCCACAAGGCTGGGCGGGGTTGTGAGCAGGCTTTCATTTCATCTTTTCTTATTATTTCTTATTATTTCTGCTTTTCATCTCATTACAAAAATTCTGCGCATTTTTTCTCCATCTGCGCATAAAATCTAGACTGACAACCTGCTTGTTAAGTCATGCACCTGCTTTCAGGCGTAAAAACCCTGTTGTAGAGGTCTCAGTCCTCATTTGTTAGACTTACCTGTCTTTATAAATGTAACTTTCTCTCTCTCTCTCTCTCTCTCTCTCTCTCTCTCTCTCTCTCTCTCTCTCTCTCTCTCTCTCTCTCTCTCTCTCAATCATTTGTGTTTCATTTCAAAGGCTTCCAGGATGCATCCTTCCACATTTGGGATGTTTCCAACCCAAGCTACCCGATCTATTCTGTCCAGCTTCCTGGTAAGTGTGTTGATTGCAGGGTGGAGAGGCATGACTAGCTCTCCCCCCCCCCCCCCCCACACACAGCACTCTCCTCGCTAAGAACAGAGGTATGGCTATCTATCCCCATTCCCCATCCCCCACATAGCACTCTCCTCGCTAAGAACAGAGGTATGGCTATCTCTCCCCCATCCCCCACACGACACTTTCCTCGCTAAGAACAGCTGACTTTACATTTCACCAATGTTGGCCATGGTACATTTTCAGGGTAAATAATGGCGAAGTTACAATTTAGGAACCACTTTGCACGCATACTGCATGTCATAGCATCTACTTTTGGTCACTGTAGGGAGGTCGGATTTTGTGTTCGCTTCACAAAATGTGGGTTGCAAACTGCCTCTTCTTCACTGTTGTGGAAAAGGTGTTACGAAGAAGATGTAATTTTTCTGACCCTCTCAGTTTAGTTCTCTTGGGGAAGGGAGGGGGGGGGGGGGGGGGGAGGGTATAGGCAGTTGATTTCATTACGCTCTTAACCCGGTGGTAAGCTTATGTAGCATGGTGCCTTCGCAGCACTGTCACCTGTTTGTAGCAATGTCAGCACTGCCAGCAATGCCAGCACTGCCAGCAATGCCAGCACTGCCAGCAGCATACTGATTCTGGAGTTCTGATGTGTGTTTGCATGGCATGGCCGACGTGTGGTGCTAGCTCCAGCAACGCTTATATATCTGTTGCAAAAAGAAGGATCCACGAAGAGGATTCGAACCCAGCACCTTTTCTTTCCGGGACAGTGCCCTATCCATTAGGCTATGGTGGATCACACACGCACGCACGCACGCACACACACACACACACACACACACACACACACACACCTATGGCCATTCTTGCTTCACTGGTCTTGTGCACCATATCCTGTGTATTTGCATGGTTGCTATGGTGTGTTTCTAGGTCCAGCAACGGTTATATCCTGGCTACCACACTGGCCATGTATTCTTGTTGGCATCGATGGATCTCTTGGGTAGGTTGTGCCCTGTCTTCTTCCATGGCCTGCTGCCAGTCATGAATATCCGCTATCACATATGCTGTGTAGTGTAAGGCTTGCTGCTGCTGCTGCTGCTAGTGCTGCTGGTGGTGCTGCTGCTGGTGCTGGGGATGCTTCTGTGGCTGCTGCTGGTGATGGTGTTTCTGTTGCTACTGCTGTGGCTGCTGCAAATGCAGAACATTTGCCTAGAGGTATTCTTTATCAGTAACTTTGGTACGAACTGAGTTGATCTCCTAGTCGTTATTATGTTCTGGATGTGTTTATCTGCCTGTACATGCCTTTTGGAAATATTCTTCAGTGACCATATTCATATTTACTGGACTAGTACATACGTCAAGTACATTTTTAAATCTGTTGTAATCTGAACCTGTTCTCTCTCTCTCTCTCTCTCTCTCTCTCTCTCTCTCTCTCTCTCTCTCTCTCTCTCTCTCTCTCTCTCTCTCTCTCTCTCTCTCTCTCTCTCTCTCTCTCTCTCTCTCTCTCTCTCTCTCTCTCTGTGCTTATCTTCTGGTATCTGTCTGTCTGTTTATTTGTCTGTCTGTCTGTCTGTATGTTTATTTGTCTGTCTGTTTATTTGTCTGTCTGTTTATTTGTCTGTCTGTTTATTTGTCTGTCTGTTTATTTGTCTGTCTGTTTATTTGTCTGTCTATCTGTCTGTATGTTTGTCTGTCTGTCTGTCTTTGTCTCCTTCCCTCACTATTGCAGGCACCACGGTGATTGTCTGTATGCCATGAGGTGGAAGTGGGATGAAACTTGTCATACAAAGCGGCCCATTCAGGTTGCCAGTGGAATCACAATGGTAAGAATCAGGTCATTCTTTGACTTCTGTCTTCCAGCAAACGTGCATAAACCACAGCTGGTGACTACGCACACAAGTTTTGGGAAAGTGGAATTCATCGTTTTACCTGTTTACACTATTTTTGATGAGCCGGCATGGACGGTAGCCATCCTTCGGGAGGGAATGCAAGTTTCCACATAAGTGACATAACCCTTGGTGTACTCCTTTGTACCGCCTACTTATGGACTATTAGGCCTCATTTACACGACAACGATTGAAAAACGTTTTTCAATCGTTTTCGAAACGTTTTTGCTGTTTACACGAAAACGATAATCGTGTACACTGGAACACGTTTTCGGCGCGCAATGGTCACGTGCAATAAGTTGGCCTGGCGTAGGCTGGCGGCGGCATGTTTTGAGTACAAGGCTCGTACTAGTAAAACGTTTTTGCCGTTTACACGAGAACGAAACGGAACGAAAACGATTGAAAAACACTTTGAAGACCGTCTTTCGTTTGAAACGTTTTTGAAACGTTTTTCAGCGTTGGTCGTGTAAACGCTCTTATCAAAATCTGTGGAAGTGTATTCAATCGTTGTCGTGTAAACGAGGCCTAAGCCATCCCGTGAATATATCACCAACCCCCAGTTACAACATAGCAACCACTCAATATTAGCCCCACTCTTTTCAGACCAAAGGAGAGCACCTGTATTGATCGTAAAAGCTTCTTGAAGTGAGAGACCGCCATAGGTGGCGAGTCTGGCGACATGTAGAAAACCAGCTAAAACAGCAGCAATGAATGAGCAAATTAAAAACACCTTTTTCAGATGAAAACCAACTATGCTGCTCAAGGAACAGTGAATTCAAGAATCAAGATCATCCTTCGTTAGCTTACATTGAACTTCACTTGAAGACGAAACTTGCTTGTTATATGAAATCATACGAAACATGTAAGCTTACGGGAATCTCTCGTTGTTAGGATGTCTGAGAAGTAGCGTTCAGTCTTCTCCCAATCAGAGTCGGAGATTCTTGGCTTGTGCTGTACTGCGAGCTCCTCTGCGTGCTCTTCTGCAGAGCTGACTAGAAGTAACTGTTGGCCGTGTCGTCGTGGCTCAGAGTGAACACTTTTGTCGTTGGAGGAAGTGATAAGGAATTCCTTGTTAAAACACGTGGACTGTACTTGCCCGCAGAATTGGTTTTGTTTGTCATTACTCCCTGTTGAGTACGCATACATGGTTGTGTGCATGTGTGTGTGTCTATTTACGTATGTGTGTTTGCCTCCATGTGTGCACACTTATATAATTATAATTGTGTGTGTGTGTGTGTGTGTGTGTGCGCGCGCGCGTGCGTCTGTGTGCACGCGCGCTCGCACATGTGTGCATGTCTGTACTACTGCAGTCGCTGAGTGAGCCATCTGGAAGTGGCATAGTTGCAGTGGGCAGTGCCCATGGTCATGTGACACTTATTTCTCTGCCATCACCCAGCTGTTCATGGCCATACAATGTGGGCTTGAGGGTGAGTCTTTTACCAATCACTACTGCCATGTACTGTTGCTTGTAATGATCTTCTCACTGCTTTCTCACCCCTGGAAAGGATGGTTTCTCAACTGACAGCTTTTTTTCCTTTTTCTTTTATACTATGTGCACATCCCTACAAAGTGATAGAGGTAATAAAAGAGACAAAGACAAAACACAAAGACAACAAAGGCGTAGTAGGTACTACAAGAGCTGTGCTGGTCAGGCGCAGTGCACTCCTCCGACCATTCCGGTTTCGGAATCAACATGGACTGTGTGGGCCAAGGGGGTATACTATGAATGATAGACTTATGACTGAAGTTATGAGAGCATCTGAAAATGTAACAGAAATGAGAAAGAGAAAATAAATAAAAATAAATAAAATCAAATAATATAGATTGATCAAGCTTCAGCTTACGTAGGTCCCTGACAGTCTTAGAGAAAGAGAGAGAGAGAGAGAGAGAGAGAGAGAGAGAGAGAGAGAGAGAGAGAGAGAGAGAGAGAGAGAGAGAGAGAGAGAGAGAGAGAGAGAGAGAGAGAGAGAGAGAGAGAGAGAGAGAGAGAGAGAGAGAGAATTATCAGTGGTGCTAGTTGTTGTCCGTTGCCCAAAGCCACTGCTTGTGGCGCAAATACCTGTGAACATTCGCTTTGAACGCCTGCATTTTCTTATCCTGGATGTTGGCAAGCATCTCTGCTGGAAGGCTGTTCCATACTTCCACGAGGCAGAATGGACATGACCGGCGGATGTAGTTAGGGGCACTGTGTGGGAGGTCAAGCTTCGGGTAGGCAGGGTGCCGGCTGGCGTCGAGTTGTCGTCTAGTCTTGGGATTAGGCTGTGGCGGTTCCGTAGGTGGAATCATTGCGGAAAGTTGCGCTGGGCCATCAGTGGAGCGTAGCTTGTACAGGCATGTGAGGCCAGCAACCGCGTGGCGCAGACTGAGGGAGTCCAGGAGGGTGCCTGGGCCGATGATGTCCAGAGCCCTCCTCTGGACTCGATCTAGCTGATCGAGATGGGTCTGGCAGGCATCCATCCAGACCAATGGGGCATACTCCAGGACTGGGCGTACGAAACCTTTGTACATAGCCAGGTGGCCGCCCCGAGGCAGGACGTGGGCAGCTCATCGGAGAAATTCCAGTCGTTGGCTTGCACGGACTGCAACAGTGTGGAGGTGGTTGCAGAATGACAACTTGGCATCAGATGAGACCCCCACGAGTTTAAAAGGGTCTCAGTCTTTGCAACAGGGGTACCTCCAAACGTTACAGGGTCCAGCGCTGGGGTTTCTGATCTCGTGCTGATCACCAGTTGCTGTGATTTCTGTGGCTCGAAGCGGATGCGCCACGATTCTCCCCACAGGGAGAGGCGGTCGAGGGCCCACAGGAGCCAGTGTCCGGGGTTTGCAGGATCATCAGTTGGTAGTACGAGATGGTACAGTGTTACGTTAGTATCATCGGCATACATGCTCAGCTTAGTCGCTGGTGTTAGGCACTGGTCGATGTCACAGACGTAAAGGAGGAAGAGCGTGGAGCCAATTATGCTACCCTGTGGCACTCCAGCTGTGATTGCAAACGGTATTGATGTTTGCCCGTGTATAACCACTTTGAGCTGGCGATTCGAGAGGTAGTTCGTGAGCCACTGCAATAATTTCCGTCCAAGGCCGATTTGTGCTGCCTTGTGGATCACCCCTGCATGTGACACGCGGTCAAATGCACTGGCGGTATCCACTGCTATCACCTGGGCATGGCCCCCAGCAGCAACTGTGCAGACCCATTCATTGTGCAGCGCCGTGAGGACATCAGCAGTGCCCCGGTTCGGACGGAAACCTTACTGGGTGTCGGGAAGTACGGAGTGTCTCTCCAAGTAGTTGGTGATTTGACTGTTGATAATAGCCTCCATGACCTTGGATAGAACGAATAAGAGAGAGAGACTGGGCGATAGTTGGCTGGTGCTGACCGCGCGGCCTTCTTGTAAACAGGGACAACGTGTGGTAGTTTCCAGATTGTTGGCTGGACACCATGGCGATAACAAAGTGAGAACAATTGCGCGACAATGGTTGACAGTTCGATGGAACAATGCTTCAAGACTTGAGCTGGTATCCCATCTGGGCCCGTTGCTTTGGAGGTATCCAACTTGGCCAGGCGGCGGCGAACCTCTGGAACACGGAAGTGAATGTTGGATAGAGCCTCGTACGCAGGGTGTTGCATGTCAGGTAGATCTTCGGGACGTAGATCCGTTTGACCGAGGCTGCATTTGTTGGCAAAATATCGTGCAAAGCAGTTAGCTTTGTCCTTGCTTGAGTGATACACTGTTCCGTCGTTATCGATCAGCAGGGGTATGTTTGAAGATCGGGAGATTCCTGCTGCTTTCTTAGCATTGGACCACCATTGCTTGTCACTGAAGGACCGGGAGCTTAGTTGCCGCCGGACACGGTCGTCCTGGCAATGCGGGCTGACTGCAAGGTGTGAGCAGCATTGCCGACAGAGGCAATACAGGAGGCGTTCAAGACATTATTGGCAAGGTTCCTTCTCTATGCTTTCCAACTCCTCTCTTTGGCCTCGACAGCGGAGCTGCATTCTGGTGTCCACCAAGACGGGTCGGATGGCCGCGTAACGAGTACCTTCGAGGGAATATACTGCTCCATTCCGCAAAGAATGGCGGCAGTCACTCTCTCGCACGATTGATTGGTGTCACCGGATAGCAGTGATGGCCAGTCTAGCCTACAGAACTTCAACGGAAGTGTGCCCTCAGTCGGTTCCAGTCAGCATAGGCATTGCGCCAAACCTTGCGGGAGGTGGTAGGTTCCCGCCTCGGGTCTACTGCTTGGAAGTTAGAGACAACTACAGCATGATCGGACCGCCCGAGGGGAGCATGGATTGAAGTGGACACTGGGGTGGAAAAATCGGATATGATTAGGTCCAAGGTGTTTGACCCCCTAGTGGCATGTGGCACATGCTGGGCGAGTTGGTGGGTTGCGCATAGCACCTCAAGTGACTCTCCAGCAGGAGTTGTCTCAGTGCTCTGCAGCCATCCAGCGTTATGCACATTGAAATCTCCCGCCAGAATTAGGTTTGACCCCAGGTGCCGGACATTGTCAAGAACACTGTCCAGGTACTCCATTAGAGAAGTGTCAGTCTCAGCACATGATCCTGGTCGGTAGATAGCGCCAAGGACAGTGCGGCGCCCGTCGTGCGTGGACACTGATGCCCACAGCACCTCATGCGAGCCACAAGCGACTTGGGTGAGCTGAGTAACCGAGAGCTCTGATTTAGCCCAAATAGCTACATCACCTCCTGCCTCATTTCGGTCTTTGCGGATTACTGTGTATCCAGGTTCAAGTGTTTCCGAGTCCAGAGTGCTCTGTCCATACTTCGTTTCCGTCACTACTGCGACATCAATGTTGTGTGTACGGACTGAGTGCTGCAGCTCGCCAATTTTGTTGGACATAGTGAAGGCATTGGTGGGAAGAAGCTGCTCTTGTTCAGTTGCTATTCACTGAGACATTGAATAGGGAGTAGCACCTGACTAGAACTCGAGCTTGTGGCTTGACACACCATTCTTTTCACCTCCTAGATCCTATGAGTCTGTCATATAGGATCCACTAACTTGCTACTTTTCTCACTGGTGGTAAGCCTGATGATAATTACTATAATCCTGCACTGGTCAGTAGTCATTGTACTGTAAATCAACTAATTTTCGCTGGCGATTTAATTTCGTTGATTTCGCCGGTCGATGTCAATCGGCCAAAATTAATTGCCGGCCAAAATTTGTCACCAGAACCAAATCATATGCCGCCGGACTGTCTGTAAAACACTTCGTACAGAAGACAGTGGTGTACAAACTATGCAGACCTTTGTACAAACTATGCAGACCTTTGTACACACTACGCAGACCTTTCTACTACTATACATGTACCTCTAGTACATGTGCACACGAAACATCGATCACTTTTTCGGACTCTTTCACGCCCACGGCGAAAGTTTAGTGGCGGCGAAAAGTGTTTTTTGGAGACCGGCGAAAGTTTTTCACCGGCGAAAATTTGTAGATTTACAGTACTTGATTGTACATGTAAAATCTCGTCTATTTTGAGAATGTGTGCTGGTGACTGGTGGGTCATGTGTGTTCCCCATCTCCAGGGTCTCAAGGCTGTTCAGATCCGCCGGAGTCCATCAACAGTAAAGTATGCGTCGCCCTCTGGCAAGAAGGCGGCAGACGGTGCCTCCGTGGATGGCAGCGGCCTACCTTCTACCAGCACCACTGTGCTGCCACCGCCGACGTCTTCAAGCAGCAATGGCACGTTGCAAGCTGGGGGAACACCGATGGACACCACTGCTGAGCCCCAAGCTGATAGCTCAGCAAATTCTGTTCCAAGTCCAAGTCTCACGACTAGCTTGAGCACACTAGACTATGCTGGTGTGCGTGCATTCAGCATGGATGCTGGCTCAGGCATCTATCTAGCAGAGAACTCGACAGTAAGTGTGCTACATGTATTGCTCATGATCACATATGTTTGTGTGTGTGTTTGTGTGTGTGTTTATGTGTGTGTGTGTGTGTGTGTGTGTGTGTGTGTGTGTGTGTGTGTGTGTGTGTGTGTGTGTGTGTGTGTGCGTGTGTGCATATGTGTGTGTGTGTGTGTGTGTGTGTGTGTGTGTGTGTGTGCATGTGCGCGTGCGTGCATGTGTGTGTGTGTGTGTGTGTGTGTGTGTGTGTGTGTGTGTGTGTGTGTGTGTGTGTGCATGTGTGTGCATGTGCATGCATGTGTGTGCATGTGTGTACATGTGTGTACATGTGTGTGCACGTGTGTGTGTGTATGTGTGTGTGTGTGTGTGTGTGTGTGTGTGTGTGTGTGTGTGTGTGTGTGTGTGTGTGTGTGTGTGTGTGTGTGTGTGTGTGTGTGTGTGTGTGTGTGTGTGTGTGCAGCGTATATAGCTGTTGCACAACTATCACATGACCATAGAGAGTTGCACTGTTGGTTCCAGCTCCACTCAACCTCTGCATTTATGGGTCACATTATGCCAGCCGTATTGGTTCCACTGTCCATATGCCATGTACATGTACACTTTCTTCACAAACTTAGTCACATGACAAGATGTGAAGCCACTCTGTGCAAATATTCTGTAAGACCACTTCTGTTTGCGAACATTCACGTGTATCTTGAGAACTTCCAAGTTCCATTGTGACCTCGTTATCTTTCCACTTAACATCCAGTCCGAAACACACGAACAGTCATTGGCTACACCACGCACAACGATTGTTTACAAATTTACATGTATATTGATTATTGAACTATGGACGAAAAGGAGAAGGACGAAAAGGGTACAAGTTATGACTTACTGTCCACCACACCACTGTAACCAGATCATATACTTCGAAGTACAGTCAGCGAGTGCGACAAAATGGTATATTGAACTATTTTATTCCCGTAGCTATGCAAAAGACGTTACTTCAGTAACGTCTGGCACTAGCCAGGGTCCACACAGCTTTAATTCTGTGTTTGTTTGTTTGTTTGTTTGTGCCATCGGCATGCCTGGCGCTATCCCGTACTTGTCCCGCACCATACCATCAGAGACATCAATACGGTGTTGTACGGTATAAGGATGTCGTATAGCATGTCGTACAACAGCATGATGAAATTGTGGGAGAAACTAGCGACCCCTTGGGAATGATGAACATAACAACAGTCTTATTGTGAGTGAGAGTCAGGCCAAGTTTCTGAAGATCAGTTGCGAGTGCTATCCCCAGCATTATGTTAGCATTACAAAAGCATAGACAGGATGTGTATTATAGGAGACCCAAGTTGCTGAAGATCAGTAGTCATTGCTGATAACGTGCAGAAAAACTAAATCCGCAGCCTCTTTTGCCGTCGGACAGGATGACAGGATGCGTATTATAGGAGACTGTAAAGTGATGTAATGTGCTCCATAGGCAACCATGCATTCGGCCGTCAGCAACAGTTAAGCACAAGCACACTATCAAGGCAAGGGCATTATTGTATTATTGTATTGTATCTTATTGTATGGAATATAATTTTACCTCATTGGCTCAGCAGGTCAATGTATTACTACAAAATGGCCAGAAAATCCGATCATGAGAGGCACTTCAAATAACATGCATGATGAAAGGAATTCGGGTGGACACACCCATTCCCATAGCGCTGCACATCCGAACCAGTTCCGTTATTTTTACAGCGTTTCGGCACTTGGCCATTGTCAGGTAATAACAATGAATACCGTGGAAGCCGCACAAGAGCAGAGTGTAGCGCCAAATGTGTGAGAAAAGCAGACAACTGCGAAATCCCACACTTCCATGCCAAACTGTTACCACCAGGGACGCGACGAGGCATCAGGAACAGAATGTATTTGAGTGACCCGCCTCATATTATATTCAGTGATATTGAAAAAAAAAGAGTAGCAGCAGGGGAAGCTGAGAAAATTCACAATAAATTGTGTGTATC